ATGCTCTTCTCAGCATACAACATATTATCTTCAAGGCACAATTTGATTGGTTTAACTATACATAAAACGTACAATTATAATAATAATTATTAAAAGTAGAAAGGGAAGTTAGGTAGATCTGACAGAATTCAATTTTTTATATTGGTTCAGGCGATAATAATAGTGGTGATAGAGACAATTATAAACTTTGAATTACATTGTACATAAATTTTAATTTTTTTTTAAACACATTTAAAAACGCCGGGATACTTAAACCTAATGTTTGGGCGTAGAATTCAGTGGAGTAATCAGTTTTTTTAAGTTTTCGTTTTTTTCAAGAAATTTAATATTAAAGTTTTTGTTTTACTATTTTGCTACATTTTTTTTTTAAAAGATACCAGAACCCCTTTTAAAATGTCTGTATTTATTTTTAATTCATGAATATTCTTCTCTTAAATTAACTTTCGTGTTTAAGCCGATATAATCTATAGTTTCTTAATTTTATTTGATTTTTCGCATATTTTTTATTTTATGTAATTAAATTTGTTAAATTTATTGTTTGGTATTAGTCGGAAATATTCGAATTTAATAAAATTCTTACAACTTGTTATTTAAGTACCCTTTTTTATTCTTTTAAATATAAATTAATAACGATTAAAAAAGATACAAACACAAAATAAGAAATATCTTGAGACCAAACTTAAAAAACGTATTACACCATTAAGCTGAATTCTACACCCAAAAATTAAGTTTACATGTCTTTTTGGTACTTCTAAAAATATAAAAAAAATAATAAATCAAAAAATGAGATATCTTAAGAAAACGAGATAACTTAAAAAAACAGATTACACCAGTAAATTCTACGCCCAAAAATTAAGTTTACGTGGACCAGTTTTTTTATGTTACTACTGTGCTTAAAAATAATATCCTATATTAAGTAGTATTTTGCTAGTGCGACATTTTCTGGTCACCCTGTATGAAAGATGTTTTAGACTACACCTAGATAGATGGAAAACATAAAATGAGTGCAGTAGGACAACTAAATTTAAAAAAATATATAATGGGATAAGAAAAGCAATACAAAATTATCTAAAATTCTTTTGAAAATAAATAGGTACCTACAAAGTTTAATCAGAAGAATTTTATCAATTTTAATATTGTATGATCCCGATGTTGTCGTTTATTTGAGCATTATCTAATGAGCCGAGTCTAGTCTTGTTCAGTCTAATCATACCCAGCTGGGTCTAGTCTGACCCCGTGTAGCATAATCTGATCTTGCCCGACGCACTGTGTGCCCAAGTGCCTGTTTTACTGACCAGAAGTCGAATTTTTATATCTCAATCTTAGTATTAAAAATGATACTTTTTGATTAAACATTGTTTTGCCATAATCAAAAAATATATATGAAATTTGTCAATGTAATAAAAAAATAATCAACATTTTTACAAGCTATGTTGAAAATTAAAGATATGAGGAAATTTAATTTTGCAAGCCTTTTAAAAACAAGTTTGTTTAATAATTGTTATATATAATTTTTTTTAATAAAATTAATGAACTACCTAACGTTTTTGGTATAAACAAGCAAAATATGGTATAATTATTAAAACCGTTTTGTTGCTTGAACGAAATGTTTGCTTGAATATGTGTCAATTATATACATATATTTTATCTTATTTTAAATAAAAAACAAATTGCCAACTTTAATAAAATTGTATTTTATTTCTTTTTTACAAAAACAAAATTGGCAAATCAACAAAAAAGTTTGATAAGGAACTGTAAACATTAAAAAAAAATAGCATTTAATTTTTTTTTTAAATTTTGTACTTGATATGTGTCAAATGGTATAGTTTATTATGTTATAAACAATAAAAAATTATAAGGAATTGCCCACATTAAAAAATAGCATTTAATAACTTCTTTTAGGATTTTTTTGAAAGTAAATCGATGCAAATAAAAAAATTATTGTTTCCCTTTGGATGCGTGAAAGAAATTTTGTATTAAATATTATAGTTTATCTTAATATGAACAAGAAAGTTTTTTTGGCGGAAATAAAATCTACAACAAATATTTTGTTCCTTTGGATGCGTGAACAAAATTTTTATTTAATATGTGTCAAGTTTATTATGTTATGAAAGATTTTTTGTTACCGAAAACAAAAATTTACAAAAGTTATTGTGGTCTTTTGGTTGGGTGAACGAAATTTTTTTATTAAAACATAGTGGCTTTGTATTTTGGACGGCTGTCAATTTATTGACATTGTCAAAAAATATCTAGGCCTTCTAGATTTTGAGCAACGATACTCAACTTTTCTTATGGCTTACAGCATTTTAGATATGTAAGACTTAGATTGTAAGTATTTTAATCTAATTATGCCGAAAATGGAAAATTTGTGTAGAAAGTTCATAAAATCGCATAGGCTGTAAAAAACTATAAAAAGATTGAGAAATAACAGATTGTATCGATAGTTGGTAGGTAATTGTGATGACAGATTGATATTATTATCAAGTACAATTTGTTATAACATTACAGCAACAATTTATTAAACAAACGAAAAAAGGTAATTTCATATAAAAATGGCGATAGTCATTTGAATTGTTCAAAATGTCCGAAATTATTATTTATACATAAATGTGTCCTTGGATCCATGGAATCGACAGCTCGTTGAATGAAATCAAAAGCACCTTAAATTTTGAAGCAAAGGTGTTAAACATCATTAGTAGGGGTTGCGTAAACTGCATCTTTTACAGTACCTCATAAAAATAGTCCATGGGTGTAAGACAAGATGAACCCTGGCCAACGTACCGGTGCCGATCCATGAATTTGGAAAGCGCCCATCCAAAAATTATCTTATAATTGAATTATAATAATTCGGATGTTCCTTTTAAAACCAAACTTGATTTAAATGAGGTCGAGAAAAAATTCTTCCAGTGCTTGTTTTAATTTCGTGAAATCTTGGCGGAAACTGTACAAATTTCTGTAGTTTCTTATGTAAACGTTGAATATATATATATATATATATATACAGGGTGGTCCAGGATTAATCTGAAAAATTTTAATGATCGATAGAGCCTGAAAAAACAATAAAAACAAACCCAAAAACATTTTTCAAAAATGCATACTAACGGAGATATAGTCCTTCAAAATAATTTTTAAACCATTAAACCGATTCTTCTCAAATTTTGCGTAGGTTAAGCTTTCGTCGATAATGTAATGAAAATTTCCTACAAAAGGCCCAGTGGCGGAGATTTTGGGAGGGGTTTCCCCTTTTTACCCTCATATTTTCGACGCCACTGGATTTTATTAGAAAATCATCAGATTTATTTTTATCCTTTTTCAATCTAAAAGCAAAACTTTTATGTTTATTTTTTATCACATCAATGGTTTCGGAGATATTTCAGTTTAAAATTTCAAAAACACTGTGTACACGTAACTTTTGTTATTATTTTAGTAATAAAAAAATATTTTTTTTCTGAACGATTGTATTGGGCAAATAAAAATTTACCAATGAAATAATGGAATAATCGCTTTTAATAGGGTGGTTTTTGGGTTGGTTTGATTTTGTATTATAATACAATTAAAGTATTAATTACAGACTTTAATTGTAATCCTCAATCAACCTTACAATAAAACAACCTAAAGATATGACGGGATCAGTAACAACTGCACGATGACTCCTGGACGCTAGTTTATTTTTATAATATTTTATAAACTGATAACGTGGCATAATTGTTACCAAGTTACCGATTTAAAATAAAATATGATAAAATTCCGTGTAGGTACTCGGTGTTTTTGAAATTTTAAAGTCTCCGAAACCACTGATCTTATGAAAATTTAACATAAAAGTTTTGCTTCTAAATTGAATAAAAAATCTGATGATTTTCCAATAAAATCCAGTGGTGTCGAAATATGGGGGTTAAAAGGGGAAACCTCCCAAAATCTCCGCCGCTGGGCTTTTTGTAAGAAATTTTACCTACACAAAATTTGAGCAGAATTTATTAAAAAAAAAACGTTTTTTTTGCCTTTGAAGGGCTATTAGTGTGTTGGTGTGTATTTTTAAAAAATATTTTTGGGTTTGTTTTTATTGTTTATTCAGGCTCTATCGATCATTAAAATTTTTCAGATTAATCCTGGACCACCCTGTATATATATATATATATATATATATATATATATATATATATATATATATATATATATATATTTATATATCACCTATTTTAAAAGTTTTGGAACCAAAGAACCTAATTATTATTATATTTAATAATATTTCATTACTTAAAGGGTATAAAATTTAATATAAAAAATGATTATGGTGCGGACAACATGTAAAAAAATAATTTTTTAAACAAATTTTGATTATAATACATATTTTTTAATCTCAAAAGTTGACGTGAGATTTTAAATGACCCCCTCCCTCCCTTAAATGAGATTTGGTGAGATTTTGCTGGACCCCTCCCCCATTTTTGCCTCACGTAATTAATGGATATCCCCTTACCCAGTAATTATTTTTACAAAATTTATTTATTGAAAATTGTCTTTATTGTAGAAAGCTGTACAAAAAAAAATTGTATTTAAATTATTTAATATGTTTAAAAATTATTTGACATTGTTGCTATCTATCTCTAAATATACAGAATATACAAATAATAGGTTCAGCACCTTTTATAATGTAAAAGTAATTTGCTCTACTATTTTCAAAAAAAAATAATTTTTAACATTAATATTCCCATCTGGGCACATAGTGCGACGGTTCGTAAAGAGGAAAATTGCGATTTTTTTTATAAATTTGCTTATAACCCCCCTGAATACACCATTACAAAACACCATACCCTTACACCATTACAAAACATTCAGAATTATGTCAATTTAATTTGTCATTGGTTTATAAATTGTTCTTTTTCTATGATAAAAACTAGAATCTTATATGTGATAAAATATATTTCAGATTTTTTCTGGCAACCGAAACTTACTTAATAGGTAGTTGAATTATTCCCAATATTGAATTAAAGTTTTTTGCTTACCCTTTAGAATCCTTAACTTTCCACCAGTGTTCCTGTGAATCATCGATAACTTCGTACTCCTGGTTCTTGTCGAGCGACAGGTCGCCACTCTCGGAGGCTTTGTACTTAAAGAGGGCCACAACTACTTTCGTTTTTGGTTTGGTGGATGAAGGGGTTCCGGGTGCAGCACCACCAGGCATTATGGGGGATACTTGTTGCTGCTGCTGAGTTTGACTACTACCTGTAAAATAAAATAGCACTTTTAGTACAAAATTTTTTAATAGTATCATGTACCAAGTTTGATAAACGCCATTTTAGACACGGATTTAATTTAGGCACGATCGAGTGCTTAAATTAATGAGTGTCTAGAAAAGTTTATAAACGAGTTGCATACTATACTGTTTCTACGACAAATACTTATTATTTTCTAAAAATAATATAAATGAAATATTTGTATAGAGCGGATCTATAAAACAATAGGGGAATATGTGTTAGGTACCGTCAAATGTCAAATTTTTATGTGTTATAAATCGAAAACTATGTAAATGGATTAACAACAGTTATTCAGTGAATAATAATCACTGTGAGAGTGTTTTGGAGTCCAAGCCCGAATTTAAGTTATATCTAGTATACTGACGGCGAAATTAAAAGGGCAGTACAATGTTCATATCATAGATCATATAAACTTTTCAAATATTGGCGTTGAGAAATTATTTAGGTAATAATGCTTTTGTATTTTTGTTTTGAGAGAAAAAATTAATGTTCACATTTAGTATTATTTTACAAGAAGGGTACTTTATTTTAACGATTGTATGACATTTGACAACTGTCAAGTAACTTAAAGCTAACTTCAGCCCTTGACTAAAACTCCAGAAAGACACAACTTGTCAATGTGTATTTTTAAAAGGTCACTTAGTGTGATGGAAACATGTACTACGATAATGGGCGTTTTAAGAGTGGGAGTGGAAAATTTTTTTTATGGACATTTAAAAAAAAATAATAACAGGTCTGTTAAGATGCTTTTATACGAACGATTTTGTATAAAGCCAGATAAATTTTTAGTTTACAATCATTTTTATTATAGGTCAGAATAATATGTAATATGTTACATAATATTATATTGATTTTGTTTTTAACATTTAACATAGGATTTACTTTTTATAATTTAAATCATGGTAGGTAATGGGAGAAAAAACATTGAAAATACACAGCGAATCCCGAAAATAGCGCAGTAACCAACAGAAGGGAATTTTTTGCCTAAACAAATTACAACAAAACGGTCATTTCAGGCGCGCGAAACGCACGAATTATAAAACTGTTTGTATAAAAAAAATTGTAGATAATTTATTATATAATATTTTGGCATCAAAATTGTTAAAAATATTCTTCTTTTATTAGGCTATAGATTAAATAAGAAAAAGGCAAGAAATATTTTTATAAAAGTTGAGATAATTTTAATAATTGAAAGTTGTGGACAGGACAAAAAAAAAGATTTATCCACACCTGTCTATTATTAAAATTATCTCTACTTTTATAAAATATTTCTTGCGTTTTTTTATTTAATGTATATCCTAATAAAATAAGAATATTTTTGACAATTTTAATGGCAAAATATATTATTATATAATTACCTACAATTTTCTTTATAAAAACAGTTTTGTGATTTGTCCCGTCCGCATGCCTGAAATGGCCCAAAATGCTTAAATATTTTTTTTGCAAAAACAAATTTTATAGATTTTTTTAACGAAATAATATACATATATATACAGTGCTTGCAAATCCAAGTCCGACCGCACTGGAAAGGACGGCTGTTCAATACCCGCGTGAAAAAAACAAGGATAGAACGCCAAATAGAATTTGATTGGCCAGAGCCGGCAGGCTACGACAACGCATACCCATCGCGCACCTTGCAGCGTGCTTGCCTCGAGTCGAGGATATCAGAACGAGAACTGCAGTGGTGCCAGCAAGAGGTAGTAATTTTAGTAAAAAAGATTATTTAATTAAAAAATGTACACGTTGGAACAAAAAGTTCAGATTTTAATCTGGCACTTTGCTGGTAATTCTAAACGAGAAATTCAAAGATTATTTGCGGGAATGTTCGAGGCCAGACCAAACAATTCGACGAAACGTTAAAAATTTTCTCACGCACGGTTGTGTAGTTCCGATGCAGTTCCGACGGGAATTTTTATAATAGGTTATGCTATTGTTTGGCTGCCTATGGGGGCTTGTTCGAACATTTAATTTAATTTTTGAGTTTATTTATTTTTATTATTTATTTTTAGAGTTTTATTTTTATTTAGAGTTTTATTTTTATTTATAGTTATTTTTATTCAGAATTATTTTTTATTTGAGAAATCTTTTTTATTAAGAATACTATTTTTGTTGTTGCCCTAGTTCTCAAGGAAAAAAATCAAACAATTTTATTTTTAGGATTCGGGTATAAAATATTTAAAATTAAAATGTGCATCTACACTCTAACGCAGTTTGCTTAACACTAAATCATTTAGTCTAAATGCAGCCAGAGTCACAAGCGTCTACGTATACGGCCCTCATATCAATTGCAGAGCTTCGCGTCGGCGCAATCAACAATAATTCTGTCATTTAACGAGTTTTCAGCACTGGAGTGAAGAGAAAGTCTTTTTTTCGTTGCATCATGTATTGGAAGTCAATGAAATCTCGAAATTTTTGTTTTAAAATTATTATATTAACGTAACGTCTTTGTAAATACTAAAAAAGGTGCCAAAAATAAACTGCGTAGGAAAATAGTCAAATGAAAGTATGTTTAGATTATTGGAATTATGTATTGACCTTATTTTGGGTTTTACTTCCTGTTTCACTTAGTTTTTGTAGTATTGTGTCTCCCAATATTTCTACATTCATTATTTTAAGCTTCTTCTAATATTTTTAATAAAATACTCACCCAAAATTACATTTTTAGTAGGTTTTCTTATAAATATCAGATATGGAACATGCGAACATGCCAGAAATAAAAAACTTAAAACTATTTTAATTTTATTTATTACCTTATATATTCTTCCAGTTATAGGGGAGAGTGGGGCAAAGCGGAACATTTAATTTTTTTTTAAATTGTAGACATAGTACTTATTTGAAAATAAGGCACTTGTGTTGTTAATTAAATGTTATATTTATGTTGTCAAAAAATGACAAAAACTTGAAAACTCTGGAATCATGGTTTTTCCAAATACCATTGTTTTTTTTTTAATTTTATTTTGTTCCACTTTGACCCTTTCATGGGGCAAAGTGGAATATATCGTGGGGTAAAGTGAAATATATTTTTATTTGATATGAAGAATATAAAAAAATATCTAAACAATTTTTCATCAGACATACAATCATATGCGGTACATATGCTCTCACAACATCCACCATATCGTCTTCATCCCAATGCAATAAAGTGCTAATAGAGCACATGTTTTAACCAAGCTCAGTGTAAAGCAATGTTGCCATATCACAAATTTCACTTTGCCCCACCCTCCCCTATATTATTTTTCAAAATGAAATATTACAATAATTTAGGACTTACTTTTAACTAATACTACTAACTAATACTACAGAGAATGACCATCTTAAGTTTGATTATTTAATAATTGGAGAGCCAAAATGTCCCCTTCGTCAGTTGTGGGTGCTGATAGAACTCTCTTCTTTTGCTTTTTTTTGGTTTTCCTAAATAATAGTCGTCTTTGGGGCTCAATTTTTTTGTTACCGGGGAAGTTTTGTACAGTGTTTAAGTTTAATAAATGGTTTGACCTATTATTTCTTATTGCTTTCAAAGTATGGTTAATGGGGGCTATAATGTTTTTTATTTTTTCAATTTCCTCTAAGGAACGAGTGCTAAGAACCTGTTGTTGGAAGGTTGCTAAAAGTTTTTGCTGTTCTTCATGAAGAATTTGATTTTCATTTCTAATGCAACTAACCGATTTTGTCAAGTTTGTTGATTCTTCCATCTTGTTATTGGTAGTTGTGTCAATGACCAAGTTATCTAAAAGAAGTAGAGTTATGAAATGCTGCCATTCTAAAAAACCTTAAAAGATTTTAGAAAATAATTATAAAACCACTAAACTGACTAAACCACGCCAAAATAAATCCACCACCCGGAAAATATAAAGTTATCATTACCTTTTACTCATAAAAAAATTAATCTGAAGATGACCTGAGTGAGATAGGTACTCATTTTTGTTGTGGTTCCTATACACTTAAATTGAAGACAAAAATCACATAACATAATATAAAACACACCCAAAATATAAGACCAAAATTATTACCTGAAAAAACTTCTTCTGGTGCTATACTTGTATGATTTTGTTTTAAAAATCTAGCTACTAGGTGAACATGTTTGCACATGTTCCATTTGATGCTATTGTCCAGACAGGAGCAAGTAAATCGATGAATGCACACAGAACATTGACTACACACTAATTTACAAAGACATTCAGTCTGTAATTCTTCAATGAGGTAAAGTTCTTTTCCTGATGTGGAAGGTACCATCCAACCTGATTCAGTTTGAACAACTTTGTTTATGTCTAGACTTTCACTGTTTTTATGCCTTTGCCTTAGGTCTGAAAGTTTGGTACATACTTTTCCTTTATGTAGCACAATTAGTCGTTCAAATGTTTTGTCACGAACAAATTTTAATATGGCGCTTATAGCTTTATCCAACCTTTTAGTAAATTTCCCATTTAAATATAAATATTTGATTGTACGGTGCATTCTCTCCAGGTGCATATTCGTATTAAGTCTGCTGTGGATTCTGAAGCAGTACGCCCATAGTTCTGGTTTATTTGCATACAATTCAAAATATTTTCCAAATTCTATTAATTCAGGATTGTCTTGGCAATATGTTAAAAATTTTTGCAGCAAAATCTTGAAACTATATATATCCCTTTCCTGAAGCAACGTACGTATCATTTTGTATACCAAACCCTAAAAAATATATGTTATTAATTTAATGTACTAAAATAAGTAAACAATTAAACCTACTTTATTTTCTTTGTTAGGAATTTTATTTAAGTTCTTCCTCCACGCCTGATCTACGTGCCATGTGCAATATAATCTGAAATAATATAACATAGTTAAACTCTATAAGAAAAAACCACTTGATAATACATGGTTGAGGCTATAAAAACAACAAGGGTGCCGTTTTAACAAGGCAACAAAAGAACCTTTCTTAAAAAAGAACTTACCTAAACTTGGCAGGATTCATAATTTGCAGCCATGCATTAT